TGTAGTTATGTTCTGCCAGGTTCAGACTACTAGATTATGGTTTTATTTGGGTAGAGAGCAAGACTGCACAAGATGAATTGGAATACGATTTCTCAATGCTATGACAGGAATATCTGTCAAAATTAGCTTCCGTTTTTTTCTGACCTTCCTCTAAAAGTAAACAACAGGTGCAGGAAGGGAACGCTGTGAAAGTCTACCCAACCTGCAAAATACATTTTTGGCATGTCGAATTTGCATGCACAACATTTGCATGGTATTGCAATTTTACACTTATTGATATTACAGTAATGACTGCAGCGTATTGTGCAGGTCTTGTAGAGGTACACTGTTTAGAGATTTTGTGAAGCCCAGACCTGTAAATATCTTTTTTATTTTTATTTTTTTTCCATTTTCTTCTTTGATGATCCTGGCCTATTATCACTCAAAATCTGTTTGTGCTAGTGTTAACGGACTGGAAAAAGCTTCTCACAGACCAGCCAGCAATACAATTTAGTTCCTTATCGTCCTTGTTGAAGACACTCACAAGCCCCTGACTTATTATTTTTTGTCATCTACAGTTCTCTTGCACAAAAGTGTGTTTTTTTTTTATTTATTTTTTTTTTTTTATGTGGTTACACCATCATCCGCGTAGCTCTTTGAGATTTAATCTGTTTTGTTTACATGTGTTTACACTCCTGAGGCTGTAATATTGTTGCACATAGGAAACGGCTTTCTGGATCCACGGCTTTATTCACTCTCCTCTATTCTTGCTGTATGTTTGTTGGCTGTAGTATTCTTTTCATTTCTTGTTTCTTATTAGCCGCTACTGCTCCTGACATCTCAAGTCAACGACCGGCTCCTTCATTAGAGTTAGCATGCCAGATATTTGGTCAGAGACTGGAACTTGTCATATCCAAGTTTGATTGTCCAAATTTGATGAATGGTGAATTCTAATTTATCATGCAACTACAAGTTTTTTTTTTGTTTTTTTGCAATGTGAAGAGTGTTTACAGTCCCCTGCAAAACATTCAGGGGGTATTAACCCTTTGAACTTCACGTTTTGTCACAACCACAAATTTCAGTGTATTTTACTGTTTTGTGATGTCATTGGGTAATAACATCATAAAGACCAAGAAAACATCAGAAAAACAAAGCAAAGTGGAAGCAGGGATAAAGTTGTGAATATTTTTCCCTGTTGCCAGTTTACCCTTTGTGATGGAAAATGGATTTTGGACCTCACATCTCATGAAACTAAGTTGGCAGTAAAATATGTAGTTCAAATATCAGGGCAGAAAATGTCCTAAGTAAAAGTAAACAAAAAAAGAAACCCCAAAAAAACAGTGTATATGATTTTAAATTCTGCATTAATGCATCATACTGTTCCGAAATCTGTCTATTAAGCCTGTGTGGTTCATCTCTGCTGAACCACACAGGCTTAATACACATCTGTGCTGTTTAATTTGGATGTGATTTCATGTGAACGCATGCGGGCAGATTGCTGCTCAGCTTGTCTGATGTTATAAAACTTAATTACCGTACTATTTACCAGGTCAAAGTAATTACAAGAAACAATAAGACGTGAGCTTTCAAGTAGGTGTTCAGCTGCTTTGTGGAGTGATTAGGAGGTGGAACTTTATTTGGTCGATGGCTGTAATTATCAGGAACAAAACTATGTGGAAAGCAGTAGAATGAGGAAAACATCAGAATATTTTATGTTGTTTCTTAGCTGTAAGTGTTGACATGATGCTGTCATCAAAAGTTAAAAAGGGGAATAGATTTGTTACTTACAGATACATTTTAAATGTGGCATTCTGGTGACTGGATTGATTGTGGTTAAGTCAAATTTGATTTTTTTCAGTTGAACTATGAAATAAAACTAGGAGGCGTGTTGTCTTCAGTTGTCCAGCAGACTCTCGTTCTCCATTTGAAGGGTTAAGAAGCCGTGAATCCTTACTAAAGAAGCTGGATATTCATAAGGCTTTGTTGAGGGATATTACCAAAAAGTTGAATGGAAGGAAAAAGTGTGGTCATGAAAAGGCATCTTGAGCAACCTGAGATTGCCTTCATGCCTCCCGGCACTGAAGCTGTTGTTCATGCGACATGTGAACGTACATTTCCACCAGAAAACACTTTATTTGATTTTCAAATTTTCTTTGAAACTGAATTTTAGTTAGTTAGTTAGCTCTCATCAAAATTAATAGACACTTGTAATTTATCGTTCTGTTTTGAATGTACATGAACATCTCTTTTTTTCCAGTTAAATTAGTGAAATTAATGACCTTCTTGGTGATGATTGGATTCATTGAAAAGTGCCTGTGTGCTTCTTTCTTTTTCCTCCTTGCTTGTTCGCAGTTCCCAAACTGGAAATGAAGTTCAGCGTCCGCAACATGTGTCCCATTGAGGGCGAGGCCAACGTAGCGCGCTTCCTCTTCAAGCTACTCGCTCCCTACCCCAGCGACCCCGCTGTGGCCACGCTGGTGGACAGCTGGGTGGACACGGCCTTCTACCAGCTGGCAGACGGCAGCGCCAAGGAGCGGGCCGCTGTCCTGAGGGCCCTCGGCTCCGCTCTGGGTCGTGGCCCCTGGCTCTGCGGGACGGAGTTCTCCCTGGCCGACATCGCCTGCTACTGCTGTTTGTCGCAGAACGGCTCAACGTCCGCCACCGCCGCTAACGTTCAACGCTGGATCAAGTCCTGCGAGAACCTGGGCCACTTTGGTCCTGCCAAGCTCCTCCTGAAGTGACCAGGGCTTTTCTAGGACCACATGCAACATGACAGAGGGGCATTAGAATAAAAAAATGATCTCAGCTATGTCTTGAACTCCTTCTAATTCTTCCCCACCCTATTCTAGTGTACTGACAAACTCGGTGAGTATGGTCATGTTAAAGTATTTATTTCTGCCATGCTGCTTTTATTAAACGGGGGGGGAGCATGAGAGGATTACATAGACAAGCACTTGGTAAATTAAGTTTAAGTACTGAGGGAGGTAATAAACACACTGACTACACACCCTCCTCCAACTTTGTGCCTAACATGATCCTGTTCTAAACATGTGTTAATGTGTGGGGTGTGACTACGTCTTTTCACAAGTAATACTTTATACTATTTGTTTTCTTAAAACATTAAAAGACTTAAATTTGGATCAAACTTGAAACTTGGCTTTGCTTTGTCTTTTTGTTCCCTTTATTTAACTTCTTTAGAAAACAACATGATCTTTTCTGTAGTTCACATCTTTGCCCAAAAGGAGCAGAAATATAGGTTGACTTAAGTATGCTTCCAAATATACTTTATCACTTAATACCTTTATGTACTTCATGAAAATATGCTGCTGAACGGTGACCAAGGAATGAAGTGAAAGGTAAGGAAATACTGAGCAATGTTTGTTCCACCAAACCATCGGATCTCCCAACAGTTGCAGGGCAATCTCAATAAATTAATATATCAAAAAGTTATTCTATTTCAGTGATTCGATAACGTGAAACTCCTATATTTAGTGCTATGCTGAATGTGCACACAATACTTAGTTGGGACTCTCTTTGCAAAAATCAACCTGTGGCTCTGCTGAAGTGTTGAAACTACAGGTTGACTTAATGTGTCCTTTGGCTTGGCACATATATTTATTTTGGCCTAACAATCTGGTATCTTGACAAACTACTGATTCCAAATGGGGTTTAGGTCAGTTCTGCTTGTTGGCCAATCAAACACATACCATGATCATGAAACCAGATACTGCATTTATTGGCAGTGTCGGTGGACGCTAACTGCTGGAAAATAAAACCAGCATCTACCTGTGGTAAGTGGATTTCCAAATTAAATGTAAAATGCTTGTTAATCTAGAAATTTGGACCACAGAGCCACATTCCCATCCTTTTTCCTCTTTAGACCCGGTTCTTCTGTCCGGTCTCTGGTTTGGGAGTAGCTTGGCAAATTATATTTCGTATGCAAAAATGGCAGCTAAAACAAATTTTCATGTTGAAACAGCACAAAGGTACAGATGGAGAGGCCTCTACCTTGAAAAAACCAAACATTTTTAAACTCATCACTAACTTGTACTGTGGCAGTTTTGGATTTTCTGCATAACTCCTGTTACTTATTCAGTTTACTTTTTATCATCTGATGTGTGCAGTAAAATCCTGCCTCACTGTCAGATGTGGAGTTTCTTCAGCAGTCCATGCCTATGTCTGTATAGTCCTCTTTAGGCAAACTTGCAGGGACTTCTCTTGAATTTGCATACCTTAACATTGATACATGCAATAACACTGAAAGAAACAACCTAATCCTATGATTTCTCATTCTCTCTGTGGATGGTTTTGGATCCTCCCCAGAGTTTTGTTTTTGACAGCTTCGGTCCGTGCAGAGCCTGCGCAGAAATGTGTTTGTATTCTCTGACAGGCTCCTGTTGGTCTCCAGGCAGCTGTCTGACAAGACGAAAGCTCTTAGCTGACATCTGGGCACATGGCATGGAATACGCTTGAGACGCTGCAGCAATGGAGTTTTGCTATTTGTGAATATCTTGCTTATAAATACAGGCATCTATGAACACCAATCAGTGCGCGCTGATGAAGCCAAAGCTGCATACAAATACAGTTCTTTACAGAAACTTTCACCATGGATATGAATGTCATGTTAAATTGGAGGTCTATTTTTTCCAACACAATTTTAACTTTGACTTTAGACATGAAGCCGTACAAATATTCAATTCAATGTGTCTCATTAACTCGCCTCTCTTCTGCAGTCTTTGGCCATCTACAAGTGTTTAGGTCGATTCTGGCTGAATAATTGATCAGTATTGGCTGAATTAGTAGAGTTCATTTAAAATGGCTAATTTCTTGGTGGAAATGCACAAATTCTTAATCCAGCCTTGTGTATGAATCTATGCTTATGTAGAGAGAGAAAAAGAGCGAGAAAGAGTGAGTTAAAACTGTAAAACTGACTGAAACTGTAAGTTAGCAGGCTTCATTGCTAATTGCCTTCTTGTTAGTTCAAATGGGGCAAAAAAAAAAAAAACAGAGACACATACAAACATGTTTTGTTTGCCTTTTTATATACGATATAAAACATAGAGAACAAGATGCATTCGTACTTAACAGCTGTAGAAAAAAGTAGCCCAACCAAAAGACAAAATCCTCAGTTTAGCTTCTTGGGCTTTTCTAAAATCAAAAAAACAGCACAAAAGGAAGATGCTTTTTGTCAGCTCATTCTTTCTGAATGTCAGTGGTAATGATTGTCAATCAGATATTTTCTTTTCATTAGGCCATTATGGAGGAGCAGAAGTATGCTTCACTAATAAAAAACATGGAGAGGAGGAAAATGCAAAAAACACATCAAGGCTAAAGAGCCTGAAATGAGACGTTTTGTTATTTTCAGTCATGATTTAGCACATTATGGTTTGATTCCACACAATTTGAAAGGTTGGGACCAAAAAAAAACAAACAAAACAAGTCATTCTGTTAACAAAGGACACACGCTGCTGTTGTATCTTAAAAGCTGAATGCGTTCGAAGTAGTCGTCTGTTAGAAAGTTTCTCTGCGAGGTCATGAGGTTGCCCTTCTGGCTGAAGAGGCGCTGGACGGGGGCCGACGAAGGCAGGGTGGTGTTGTATTTGAGAAAAAGCTGCTTCACTCTGGGGAAATCCTGCAGACACTCGAGGCTCTTCCCTGTTCCCTCGACGTACTTGCGGATCTCCTCCGTCACCCCTCGCTGCTGGTTCTGAGTGGAGGTCTTCGCCGACCCGTAGCTGAAGAAGTCGTCCTCGGATTTTATCGTGGACAGGTTGCGGCTGGTGTTGGCCTCGGGCACGTCGCGGGGCTCCATCTGGGAAGCCTCGGTGGCCAGCAGGGAGCACATCTCCTCCCTCTCGGAGGCCGCCATCCACCACAGGCGGAATTGAGGGGTCGTTGCCGTGGCGATCTTTGCCTCATTGTTGGAGAAAAACTCCTGGAATCGAACGTCGATCGCCACGGCAATGCTGTTGATGACGTCGCCAAAGTAGCTGGCTGCGTCCTTCTGCTCGTTTAGCTTGTTCTTCAAGCTCAGGATGGTTGGGATGACGAGACCGAGGTAGCACTTCTGCTCTGCTTGGAAGAGTTCGAGCGCAAATGCGAGAGGGTGGAACACAGTCACGTATTCCTTGAGGAAGGCCATTTCCTCCGGCTGCAGGCGGGTGACCTCCAGACGGGCACAGAGCTCCGTCAGCTCCCGCTCACTGAGGGAGATGATCTTCTGCACGGCACAGTACTCCACGTTCCAGCGGATAACGGCTGGGACGACCAGCGCCATCTTTCTAATCTCCTCTGCCACTTCCATTCCGACCTGGACATGGTGGCACTTGTTCCATATGGAGAACACCTTGGTCATGGAGCTGTAGTGAAGCTGACACATGGGCCCCTCCGAGATGGCCTGCCAAAAGTCCTCAGTGATGATCTGCTCCAGGGCGTGAGACGCGCATCGCTGCACCGGGGGCAGGAACAAGAGCATGTCCTGCTCTCGCTCGCCCTCCAGTATGGTTCTCACGTTCTCGAAGAACCCAAAGTCGTCATCCCTTTCCTGACTGTCCGACACGAACTCTCTGAAGACGCTGGCAAAAGGGCTGGCGTTGTCGGTGACGGTGGTCTGGACCTTATTTTCAATGTTGTACGCCACATGGGTGTCGTGTATCCGCCCAGCGATGGAGTCGTATGAGATCGTGTCCTGCAGCCGCGGGAACCCCAGAGCGGCAGACTTTCTCTCGAGTGACTCCGGATCGATCCAGTGGCACGTAATGCCAAAGAAGCTCCTGTCGTTGGCCGTCCAGATGTCCGCTGTGGTGCAGACGTACTGGATGCTGCTGAGCTTGACTAGCAGCTCCTCTCGCATTCTGGTGAGGCCTTGGTCCACTTTGGTAAACAGGGTCACCCTGTCCATGACCTTTAGCCCCTCCGTCAAACCTGTGATCAGCCTCTGGAAACCAGGCTGCTCCAGCACGTAGAAAGACTGACAATCCTCCACAATGAAGCTGAAGATGAGATCATCAATCTTGGACTGGGTCAGGCATTTCGAGATGATCTCTGCTTTGAGTTTTTTCAGCTGGCAGTGTCTGCTTTCCTCGCCGTTGTACTCCTCCTTCTTTCTCCCTCTCTTTGCATCAGGCCTGGCTTCACAGCCCAGGTGTGTTCTCTGAAAAAAACAAAAACAAAAAAAAAACAAAGACGCGTTTCAGGGCGGATGTAATATAACTTCATGCAACTTTAGAAACTTGTGCAATACAAAAAAAACCAACAAAAAAACAACAAAACTATCGAACAAGCAGATGCCTTCTTTTCTTGGAGGAGTCTGCAGCGCCATGATTGGACCATGTGTAACGTTATTAATTAGCTGTTCATTCATTTACTCGGTTTTAAAACCTGAACGCAAACTGAGCTGCAGATCTTCACATTCACGCTGCGTTCATCTAACTTACGTCTAAATGCTTCTTTAGGTTTGACGTGGAGGTTTTCGACGTGGACAGCAGGTTGACCCTCGGCAGGCACAGATTACATTGGACGATGATATTTTTCCCCTGATCAGCCTTGTACGTGAAATGGTGGCGATAACGCCAAGTGTTAATGGCCGATTTAGTCTCCCCGCAGACATCACGCTGCTCCACATCCATTTCAGTCGCAATGTCTGCCGCTAAAGACGAGCTAAAACACACAAAAAGTATCGTAATCCGATTTAGTAATCTTGATTACACGTAAAGTAACGCTGGCTGTGAAGAAATCCTCATGAAAAAGGGGGCAGGCCTTTGTTTCCATGTTGCTCAGCAAGTGGAGAAGGAGAGGACACCTACGTCATCTTCCTGTTCGCGAGCGCTTTCAGAACAATGCTGAAGTGGGTTAAGTGCGCATGCGCCTCAAAAAAAGGGACCCGTAGTTGTTACGTCATAGTCAATATCTGTTATTTTGAGGTGCACCTTTTTTTTTCCACTCCCTCGTTATTTTTCGGAGCTACCTGGTGCCACCATTAGGCGGTGGAAGGTAAAATATTACAGCGTTTGAACAAACAAATACATAATCTATAATAAATAGATATTTGAGGCAAGTTTGGTAATTGGAGAGAAAAATTGTAATTTGTTTTCAATTTTGTTCTAAAAACACATGTCACATTTGTAACTACATATTGTGCACAATTTGAAACTAAAACCTATATGTTCTTACCTTTTTGAAAAAGATGCCTTAGTTAGTCTAACTTTAGTTAACTTTAATTTAAAAAAAATGATTTTAAAGATAAATATCTTCTGAATAATCTGCTCATTTCTATGCACTCGGTGCCTGGTTGGTCCTTCTTTTTCTTCAATTGTTTCATCAATATAGTGAGATGTAGAATATCTGCCTGTGTCACTGCTGAGATGTAACAATGTTGCTTTGACTGCTGCCTTTAGTTCATCTGCATTGTTGAGTCTGGTGTCTTCTTCCTCTTAACAATACCCCATGGTCAGGCCACTTTGCTGGCCAACCAAGTGGAGTAGCACCATGGTCACTGAAGCTGCTCTCAGATATTTAGGTAGATGTGTACTTTGCATATCAGAAAACACAGAGGACCAACACCAGAAGACGACATGGAACACCAAATCATCACTGGCTGTAAAAACTTCACGCTGGACTTCAAGCAGTATGGATTCTGTGCTTCTTCACTCTTCATCTGAACTCTGTGACACCGATTTCCAAATGAAATACAAACTTTAATCACATCTGAAATAAGAAATTTGACCTACTGAGCATGCAGTTCAGTTTCTTCTCTCCTTCTCCCAGGTAAGACAATTGTGACGTTGTCCCAGAATCAGCATTCGTCTGTGAGTCAGTCCACTCCTTGTGAAGATCCTTCAAACCACTGAATAGATTTTGCTTGACATGTGTTAAGTCAGCAGTCTTTCCCATAACTTTGTTGCAGTGAGAGACCATTTAGAGGCTCAGGAAATCTTGGCAGGTGTTTTCAGCTAAATAGCTGACACAGTGTGACACCATTAGTATATTCAACTTTCTGACAATATTCTAATCATCAGAGACACTTAATTATTTGTCTTCGTCATCTCTAAGATGAAATATTTGTGACTGTGCCACAAACCATGTGGATACAGTAAAGCTGTGAAAACAAAATCTGAATCCAGTCAATACACAAAATATTGTCAACACTACCAACCAGTCTGAACCCACTACATGGTAAAACATGGTGGAGGCAGCATCATGCTGTGGACATTTTCTTCAGCATTGACAGTGTTGAGGGTCAACAGGAAAACCCTGCAGATAATCTGTTAGAAGCTGCAAAATATAGTAACTCTTAGACCAATAATTGAATGGTTCAGATTAAAGTATTTACATGTGTAGGAATGGCCCAGTCCAGTCCAGATGTAAATCAACATCTAAAGATACTATCCATCCAATCTGACTCAGGTAGAGGTTATAGGAAGAGAACAATGGGAAACAATATCAGTTTCTAGATGTGCATTTTCTCTAGATTAGAAAAAAAATGGAATCAGTTTGTGATTTAAATCCCACGATACGATAGATTGGAGGTTCCTGATTCTAATTTGACAAAATGTCGAGAGGTTTGTTGTGCATGGATACTTATGGAATATTTGTAGCCTTCAACTTTTGCTTCCTAATGAACCCGGTGAACCCCGATGATTCCTGTTCAGTACAGGAACACCGGCTGAACATCTAATTGGTTCGAGACAGTCTGTTCTGTTGTTGGGCTGTTGTGCACCACAGGGATCGTTGTGTCACGGGATGCCATTCTCTCCTCCCTGTGACAGCGGTAACTCCGAGTTTGGTAATATTCATGACATGTGAGTTCATTGCGGAACGTGGAGACGTCTCACGTGCCACTGGCTTTGTTTGGATATTTACATTTCCTCATAGAATCGGCAACATTTTTAATTGGGCACAGGCTGTGACAGTAAATTTAAATGCAGAACCGAGTTCTCATTTTACTCATTTAATCGCACGTCTCCTTCATTGGTTAGATTTGATGAGGGTGGGGTCTCACTAAAGAGTCTTTTGACGTCGCGCTCGTTCAGTTGGGTTTTTAACAGAGACGCAGTCTGTGTTGGAGCAGAAAAAAAGTGCTCTAAGACCATGACTGAGGAGAAGAAAACAATCTAATCAAGTGCTGATGAGGTTGGAAGTGTTTTGATGTTGCTGTCAATCTCTCCTCTGTGCTTCAAATGGGGCTTCACTAGTGGACACCACCAGTGTCCTTTCTGCAAGCTGAACGTCAGCTGAGCATTACGAACAGTGGCTCACCCACTCAGGACTGTGGATAATCTGTTGTATTGGTCTCTTTCACTTTTAAACACAAGTATGACCAGAAGACCCTCGCCCTGACGCGCCCTGGTGCGTGCATGCTGCTGGACCAGGGGGTGTGCGGACTAGTATGAAGCGCCATGGGTTTGTGCGACCGCGGGGTTCAAACGCTCCTGGCCACGGCAGGGGCTTTCGCCGCCTTCAGCCTGATGACCATCGCTATTGGCACGGACTACTGGCTCTATTCACGGGCATACATCTGTAATGGCACCAACGCCACCACAGACGAGATCAAAACTAAGAAAGGCGATCTCACCCACTCAGGACTGTGGAGAATCTGTTGTATTGAAGGTAAGCTCCCCTCAAACTTTAATAGATCTGTACTTTTTCTCCAGTCAACAGGATTTTTTTTTTCTGTCATATAAGAAATAGTTTTTGTTTTAGGGTTGCTTTTTTTTTTTTCTTTCCCGGTGCGCACAAAGGACGCGCTCCTTTTACGCACGTCAAATGCCTCTTAATAGGGATAACTCCACAGCTGAACAACCTTATAACTGTGGAAAAAAACTTTTAAGGGATTTATGCAAGATGTTAGAGATGCACAGGGGGAAGAATAGGCATTTTAGGCTGAACAAGACTGAGTATACCTGTGCGCCAACTGTTACACCGCATGAATCCCACACATGAATCCTTACGAAAGAATGCCGTGCCAAGCCTGCGCGTCTGAGCCCATTCACTCTCGCTGCCAGGAAATGTGCGCGCTATTAGTCTACTTTCATTCATGTCTTTATTGTATTCAATGCTGCGTTGCTTGGCAACATCTATGAAATCGCTATGGAAACATGCCCGATGACTTAAAAATAGATGACTCTGAGTTCACGTCATGTCCGAACAAAAAGAGCAAAAACTAATAGATTTATTGAAAAAATAAAGATAAAAAATTGAGATGGAACATCCGATAAACATTTGATTCTCTTAGGGTTTCGCTTCCCTTTTCTGGGGGAAATATAACGGATTGGTGTTCCGGAGGTGCGCTGGCAGTGACGTCTTTCCCCAGAAGCAGACAGACTCTCATTGACCAATCTTTCTTCCGACCACCCCTTGACTTCTTGCCTCAGCTATCAATGAGAGAATCGCTGTGACTGGATGGATTTGTTCGCGACACAGACGTTTGTCATGAGGCAGAAATTTGTAGGAATTGTATTAAGTAAGCAGGCAGGAAGAAAGTGGAATTTTCTTTTTACTCGGTTTTCGATTCTTATGACTATTCCCTCAAAATGAAGATATATAAACGCCATATAATTTGTTATAAATGTTATATTTTGAAGGAAGTTGTTAGTTTAAATATTGCTTTTTCAAAAATTCTGCTTGCTCATAAACGCAGATCAGTGAAATATGTACAGGAGGTGGAGTCAGTCCTAAACACAACATATGCTCCAGACAAAGGCGCACTATTCGGCAGTAACAATTAAATACATCCATTCTTTATAGAATATTTGTGATTGTGAATTTCTCTTTCCTTTCTTTTGCATCTTGCTGACATTAGATAAGCATGATCGGCGGATGTGATTGCATTGCAGTGTCATAGGTAGGATTGCTGTACAAATAAAGGGAAAACGAGATTGCCCCCTCGTTGCATAGTTTATTGAACTAATGTCACGACATATTGGAATCCTTTAGGAAACAGGCAGGACGACCAGGATGAATATAAAGAGATGAAGGAAGGACAGAGAGAAAGGAAGGAAACGAGGGAAAGAGACAAAGTAGCAGTACTTACATTTCATAATCTAATAATGATGACGATCATGATGATATGAGATATACATTATAACAAACAAGATCGAAATAACTAAATGCGCTTACTGTACAAACAGCCCCACAAGCAGAAATGATGTGTCTGCATGTGTTTGCATGTAAGCTTGCTCATAAATTTGGGTAAAAGTTGTCTGTAATTAAACTGTAGGTAGAGTCAATTGGCGTTGGGAATGGAAGCACCATGTAAAATCAAGGAACATGGTCATGGATGCAAACAAAACCCACAGCAATGAGGGGCAGGTCCTGACCCAATAGGCAGCAGAGACCACAGAAATGGGTCAAGACTGACCAGATCCCCAAAGGTTAATGTTACCCTCCCTACTCACCCAGAACTTCCACACAATGAAATCACCTAACCAAACACAGATTCTTGTTTCTAATAAGGCCATAGCATCACAACCAGGGCAACCACCTGTGGTAACACCCATATGTACCCCCTAGATTTCCACGATATGAAATTCACTCACCATCTGTGAACAAGACCTAGGTGGTCTCAAACCACTTTGCTTGACAGAATCGAGTTAAGTGACACCCGGAGCAATCTCCCTGCTGCCCCAGTCCAAAAGAGTAAAAGGGATTCCCCAACAACACAGGGACATCATCAGATGAACGACCATATCCACCCTGCCCGTAATCGTGGGCCAGATGAATAAAGCAACCGAGCTAGATGGTTGTAATTTTGTTGTAGAGAACTGTCTGAATGACTAATCCAATCGAGATGGGGGCAGGTGTATTCCAGGTCCATTTGCCCCGGCTGCTCGGATACACCGAGCTCCTGAGG